TTTTGCCTCTTCGATATTTTAACTTTCGACGTTTTGACTTTCGATCTTTTGACACCTATTCAAGAAGTTGAATGAATTGAATCAAATTCTGATGGCTCAGTTAGATTTGAATTAATTGCATTTTGCAATTTATTAAACTAAAAACTAAATTAAATTATTTTACATTGTTATGCTCCATTATGAAAGAAATATATTCTATTTTAACATTGTATTCATATGATAATCGAGTAATATACAATTATTTCATTCAATTGATAGTAGTGGCGGTCAGTAATCTTTCACTAGCTGCTGGGTAACGAAACAGTACGTATTCACCCTTTACTGCCGATTTAATGAAAGCATTATATATGACTTGATTCATAAATAAATATGATGTTAACAATAGGATATATTTCTTGTACGAAGTATCACGAAGAAATACAAAAATTTAATTTAATTTCTACATAACTAAAAATAAACAAAAGTTTTCTATGGCTTGAGTTGATTTTAAACTAACGGAAAAATGACACCGTAGATTACACCCAAATAAAGGGTGCATATTGCAGATCTGTACCCAACAGAACAATGCACCAAGAAGCATAATAGTGCCTCTCATATCTTATGAGTTTGGATGCTCCAAACTACAAATTCTTTTATTTTCTTTCTTAAAATATCTTTCTTCATGACTTGTGCTTTGCATCATACAGAGATATTGATGGAAAGCATTGATATTTCAAATGCTATGGTTACCGATGATCCCTTGTGGAACAACTTATCGACAAAGCTAAACTACTCGTGATGTAACCATTGAATAAGAAGACATTAAAATAATAGCTTTCATTCGGGTATGGGCACGAAAATGCTCGGCGAACACAAAGTTCGCGTATCAATTTATTATTTCTTCAACGCTAACTCGTCGCCGTAAAAACGAGCATATCGTGATCTAATTGTTCCTTTGATGCAATACGTACTATGCGAACAGCTCTTATTTTCGTTGCGTATGATGGCATTGATCATGTTGATGTGTTTATTACATACAACCTTGGATCTTTTGATCATGACATTAAATATTCAACTGATTTTTGGCCTACAGCTGTAGCTCTGGGTGATTTTAATAAAGATACCTATCTTGATATCGCCGTTGCTAATCAATGGAGCAATACTATCAGTATCCTTCTTGGGTATAGCGATGGGTCTTTTACAGAGCAAGTAGAATATTCCACTGGCTCCTCGCCACAGTCTGTAGCTGTTGGTGACTTTAACAACGATACTCATCTAGATATCGTCGTTGCTAATTTCTATGGCAACACTATCAGTGTTCTTCTCGGGTATGCTAATGGTTCTTTTGCAAATCAAACAAAATATTCAACTGGCTCTGGTGCACGATCTGTGGCAGTTGGTCACTTTAACCACGACACTCATCCGGACATCGTTGTGGTCAATAGGAAAGACAACACTGTAAGTGTCCTTCTCGGATATGGTAATGGTTCTTTCACAGATCAAACTACATATTCAACTGGTTCCTCGCCACGGTCTGTAGTTGTTGGTGACTTTAACAACGACACTCATTTGGATATCGTCGTTGTTAATGTTGGTGACAATACTGTAGGCATTCTTCTTGGATATGGCGATGGCTCTTTTGCAAATCAAATGAAGTATTCAACTGGCTCTTCTCCATTGTCTGTAGCTATTGGTGACTTTAATAACGACACCCAATTGGATATTGTCGTTGCTAATAATGGTGATAACACTGTAAGTATCCTTCTCGGATACGCCAATGGCTCTTTTGCAAATCAGATTAAGTATTCAGCTGGTTCTGGCCCAGATGCTGTAGCTGTTGATGATTTTAACAATGACAACAACCTAGATATTGCCGTTACCAACTGGAACGATAACACTATGAGTATTTTGCTTGGACATGGTAATGGTGTTTTTGAAAAACAGATGATATATTCCACTGGCTCTAGTCCTTCATTTATAGCTGTTGGCGATTTTAATAAGGACACTCAGTTGGATATTATTGTCGTTAATGCAAATGGAAAAAGTGTTAGTGTATATCTCGGATATCCAAAAGAAGGTTTCTCAAAACAAATGAGACTTATAACTGGCAATGGGTCTCGCCCTAGGTCATTCGCTATTGGGGATTTTAACAAAGATGGTCAAATGGATGTTGCAGTGGCGAATTCAGGCACGAATAATATCGGTATTTTTTTAAGATATGACAATGGTTCTTTCGCAAATCAAATAACATATTCAACGGATTCTTCACCATGGTCAATAGCCATTGGTGATTTCAACAACGATGTGATACTTGATATCGTTGTTGCGAACCGTGACAGTGACAATGTTGGTGTATTTCTTGGACATAGTAATGGGTCTTTTTCAAGTCAAAAGGTATTTACGACTGGTATTAACTCTCAACCGAACATAGCTGTTGTTGGCGATTTCAACAACGACACTTTGCTGGACATAATTGTTGCAAATTTTGGTACAAACAACATAGGTGTATTGCTCAGTTATGGAAATGGCTCCTTCACAAATGTCAAGTTTTTTTCGACTAGTTATGGATCTTATCCATTCTCAATTTCTGTTGGTGACTTAGACAAGGATGGAAAGTTGGATTTCGTCGTTGCTAATGAAGGTGTTGACAGTTTAAATATTTTTTTACAAACTTGCTAATATTGATATTTTAGACTCAAGTACTTGCTATCGATTCACTATTTCTAATTTTTACTTGATATTACTGGTATTTCTTCTGTTTTTGCGTGTAGCTATGCTGAAAATTAATAAATTTATATAAAGATAAACAGTATGAATGCATGTTTCGATCTTACTCGGAGTCCTCGTCCAATGATTACAAAAAATGTATGTTTTCATGTGATATTGCGGTCATACAGAAAATAGGTAATCTACAATTTACAGTTCTATTGCTAAATGACATGCAGAAGGAAGGAAAATTGTTTGTATGTAGCATACACATTTTCTTTATCACCTCTTTCATTGCAACTGATTGTAGCAATTGAAGTATCATATCCCTAGTTCTCATAGTTTCACAGCAGTACGGTTTTTAAATAGTTTCACTCTGGTGAACCTAAGTTCTGTAAATCCTCGCATTTTCTTGTATTCTTTTTCGATTGCGTGGGTGATGTAGAAAGATTGCCAACCTACGATAACGTTGTGTCTGTCCGTGGCAGGACTAAAGTAGATAGAATACTTATTATTTTATTTATGTAGAGAGTGTAACTTGGAAATTATCAATGCGTAACATGTGATTTACAAACATAAATACATTAAATAATTTTATTGCAGACATTTGTGCATTTACATTTTAGAATAAAATAAAATAAAATTAGAATTAAAAACAATTCTAATAGTCAATAAATTTTTAAACAGCCGAGCAAAAGATTCTTAAGCTAAAACTCTTCGTATCATGAGAGTATTGTATTTTAGACTGTCGAGATTACGAACAACACAAGGGTGTGGGTGTGGGTGTGGGGGGATGTGGTTGGGTGTGGAGTGGGGATGTAGAGCTTCCACTTACATACACTCACATCCACAGCGCATCACACGCACACCCATGCCCACACCCACACCCACACCCACACCCACACCCACACCCACACCCACCACACATCCACACCACCTACCCACCCACATCTACACCCACACCAAAACCCCGCACTCACACCCACACCCGCACCCATTCTCGATTTGTTTTTTCTAGTAGAAAGTATTCAAGTGAATCTATCAGATAATCAATATATCGGTCATTCGTAGAGTTTTATTAGTGACTTAAACTAGATTTCATAATTATGTTTAACAACAGAGTGATACTATGTCATTGCTCGCATCGCAGTAATCACACTACGCAACGATGAATGTAAATCAAAGTTTTAATCGTTGTCCGAATAAGGCCTCCCGCTTTTGATTATATTGCAAGTTTTCGTGACATGCGGTTTCCCATTTGTCAATCGTTTCTTTATCCAAAATTTGTCCTTGAAAACTTTTCTAATTTCCATGAGCAAAACCATGTTTTCCTTTTTTACATCCTCCAGGTCCTGCTCCGGCTTGCAAAGTTGCATAACAACAGATATACTTGAATCGACTTTTTCCTTTCTCGATTTCGTCCTTCCCGCTCGAGTCTCTGAATGCAAGATATTCTTCGCGATTCAGCGTATCAATCGCCGCACTCGGCTTATATTTCGCCAAATCTAATGAAAAATTATCGAAGACAAACCCATCATGATAATTACAAGAACCCATCTTATTATCACTTTCGATATAAAGATCTCGGCATTTAACACAGCTCAAAGTCGTTGTCGAACGCCAATGCTCCTCTTCCTCTTGTTCAATTTGCTCATTTGTGAGTGTAAAGTTAACATCAGTTGTAAATTTTTTCATTAAAAATGGGTCGCGCGCAACAGCCATAGCTCATCGTTCATTTCTGTGTCTTTTATCCGCTTCACTTTCTTCGATGTTAGCTTCACGGAAACGACTTGTTACGTAAATATAAATACTTTGACTCACAATCGAAGTACTAGTTGATGTTCCCATGGATGATTCGGATTCCGATTGATTTACTCCAACTAATGAATCAAGATCATAGACAATCATCGAACGCTTGTACTCCATGCATTCATCATATCTTTCTTTCAACGTTTCGAAGATTTTCTTTTCATCGTACGCGCCTTTTGATGAAAGTAAATTCAAGTCAATCAATTGCAACAATTGCACATCACGATCAGTTCCATACGATGTGATACGTTCAAGTAACTGTTGAAGATTTTCTTCTGTTCGTCGTAGCGAATCTTCAATCACATGACGTTGGTTATTTCTTTGTATAATTTCAATTCGAACACATTTATCATGAAGACTTATGATTATTTTTCCGGTAAATCGATACGAATCCGGCAGATGAAATTCAGATGGCTGATTAGGACTACGACTTCGGTCATCCACCAATGATCGACGATTACCAAGATTTTGCAAAAGCAAACGCGGTAAAGTATCGAGACCGAGAAATAACTGATACTGACGAGCTGTACGGTCAGCTAAAACTAATGCATCGTCCTCTGTTATCTCATATTTATTATTATAACGTTTCTGCGCCAGATAATGAACCGTTATTGCACTTGTCAATGCCCTGCAAATAGATCGAGTCATTCAGTGAATACTTCATTGATAGAAGCAGGGTGCCGCAAAAGTTATCGATCACAAAGAAAACTGTTATCCTAACTTCAAAATTTGAATCGCGAATTACAACGAAGAGAAGCAGTGGAGATTCCGGAACGACTTACTATTCTATCTATCCATCAAAAGTTTCTTAAAACTGGCTCAGTTGAAGACCGCCAACGATTATAGATGAGATAATCAATTCGATAGAAAAGCTTGTTGGATTCAATTTATATTATTGAAGCCGTAAAAGAACAAACATTCCAAGACGTTTTTACGGCCCCCGTCAGTACACGTTGGCTGAAATTTCGAGAATATGTTGGAAGTCAGCGATAAAAATTTCAGCCCAAAGCTGCATGTTTAAGGGAATTATAAGCCCAAGAAGGGTCAAAATCGGTTCATCTGGCATCCAAAACTTGTTGATTTTGGTATGTGCAACCCCCAAAATTTTTCTTCATCAGAAACACGGGTACACAAGCTCAGCTCACGAAATCCGCTCAAATGAGCAAAAGAACTGTTCGAACAGCTCATGTGAAATGAGCTGAACTGTTCGAAAAGCTCATTTGAGCGAGCTGAACTTTTGTAACAGCTCATTTCATAGGAGCTGAACTTTCAGAACAGCTCATCCGAACGAACTGAACTTTTTGTAGGGGTACTCATAGGTCCTCAAGGACTACCTATACGGCTAGTCATAGCTCCTCAAGGGCTATCCTATAGGGGTACTCATATGTCCTCAAAGACTACCCTTACGGGTGCCCATAGGTCCTCAAGGGCTACCCTTAGAGGTGCCCATAGGTCCTCAAGGGCTACCTATAAGGGTAGTCATAGGTCCTCTAGGGTTATCGTATAGGGGTACCCATAGGTCCTCAAGGGCTACCTATAGGGGCAGTCATAGGTCTTCAAGGATTACCCTATAGGGTTGCCTATAGGTCCTCAACAGCTACCCTATATGGATACTTATAGGTCCTCAGGAGTTACCCTATAGGGTGCCCATAGGGCCCCAAGCACTATCTTGTAGGGATACTCATAAGTCTTCAAGGGCTACCCTATGCGGGTACTCATAGATCCTAAAGGTTCACGCTGCATGGGTTCGTATAGGTACTCAACGGCCACCTTATAACTGTACTCAGAGGTGTGGGTGTGAGTGTCAGTGTGGGGTGTGGGTTTGGGTATGGGTGGGGTGTGGGTGTGGGTGTGGGTGTGGGTGTGGGTGTGGGCGGGGTGTGGGTGTGGGTGTGTGATAAGTTAAAACTATGACCCACACCAACGCCACCCATATCCACACCCACCCCCACACGCTACAGCCATATCCACACACCCACACGCACACCCACACGCACACCCACACGCACACGCACACCCACACTCACACCGCCACCCACACCCACCCCACCACCGACACCCACACCTCAATCTCGGATCGGACGTCTGCCTGGTCCAATTTGAGATTACGTCTAATTTAAGGTTGGACGCTGACATCTATATAATTTGACTCGACTACGAACGATTAGTTCCGCAGAAGAGCCTGCGAACAGCTACGAGTACCCCAAAGCATACTCCGCCAGGACAAACAGATACTTCTATATAATACTGCGTGACGATCTCTAAGTACCTGTATGCTAAGGAGCTTGAAGACATATCGGGTCCGCTTAACACTAGTCCTTGAGTACCTATGACTACCACTACACGATATCATTTCAGATCCAATAGATACCTCGGCAAAACAGGATTTATGGACCAAAGAGTTATTCTAGATGATTTGACTTGCAGATCTATCAGATCCTACATTACATGAATAGATGTCTTGACGATAATCCTCTACAACAGGCTCTCAGGTCTTAACGGTACCCTTCTAAAATAGGACTTCAGGGACATCGGATACCGATCTATAATAGGACTTGAGAACGCATGAGTATCACTCTCAAATGTGACTTCAATTCCTCAGAGTACCCTTCTATCATCGCAGTTCAGCACCTATGGATACTCCACAACAATAGGACCTAAGGTTCTAAGAATAATCGTTCCTAATAAGACTTGAGCATCCGTGAGACCATGACGTAAATGAATTACAAAGCAATTCACTTTCTGACATTTTCTACCAGGGTCTACAGGGTCTACCAGAGTCTGCCAGAGTCTACCAAGGTCTACCAGGGTTTACTAGGTTCTATCAGGATCTACCAGCGTCTACCAGAGTTTCGCGGTACCCACATCGAGAGAGACGTGATGTAAGTCGTTCCGCGGCACCCACAACGAGAGAGATGTGATGTAAGTTGTTTCGCGGCACCCACATCAAGACTTTAGTAGACTCTGGTAGATCCTTTAGACCCTGGTAGATTCTGTAGACCCTGGTAGACCCTAGTAGATAGACCCTAGTAGAAACTAATAGAAATTGAATTACTTTGTAGTTCATTTTTTTTGAATTACTGTGTAATTCATTTTTTTTTGAATTACTTTGTAATTCATTTTTTTTTAAATTACTTTGTAATTCATTTACGTCATTTACTGGCATCTGTTGGTGCCCCTCATAATATGACTTCGAAACTCAGAGATACCCCTGTATAACAGGTATTGGGGACCTAGAACTTCGACTACAATTGGACTTCAGGACACACGAACTGGCCGCAAAAGTAGGAGGGTGTGGGTGTGGGTGTGGGTGTGGGGTGTGGGTGTGGGTATGGGTGTGAGTGTGGGTGTGGGTGTGGGTGTGAGTGTGAGTGTGGATGTGGGTGTGGGTGTAGATTTGATTTTACCCATGAACACACCCACACCCTCAAGATAACGGGCCGTTACCGTTCCCGGGTAACTGGTAACGGAACAGTTATCGTTACCTGGGAACGGTAACGGTAACTTTCCACCCTTACTCCGAACTCTGTTCAATGTTGTATTGACGATATTTGGTCAAATGCAAGTGATAATTCGTCTTTTTAAGAAATTACCAGGAAAAAGTAACTGGTAACTTTCCACCCTTAGCTATAACACACTCACATTCCTATTGTTCTCCATTGTTCTTCATATTTCTAAAAATGTAATCATTCATTGTTTTCAAAATCATCCGTATCTACTTTATGACCATTCTTCGCTTATTTTAAATACATATTTTACATTATTACATAATAATTACGAGATCTCAGTGAAGTCACAGAAAACTGATCATCAGTGACGCTGTTGATGTCAGTGTATCAGTGATCAGTAGTGCATAGGTGGTCAGTATTTCAGTGACGTCGGCGTCAGTGCTTTCAGTCTTTCAGTTAGGCATGCACCAAACCCAAACCCAAACCCAAACTGTTTGGGAGTTTGGGTTTGGGTTTGGGTTTGGGTTTATGAGTTTGGGTTTGGGTTTGGGTTTGGGT